TTATTGAGTTTTATTTTGTGATCCATGTCCATAATGTAACCATATTAAGAAGAAATGACATATTCATGATGTTGAACCCTCCATTAAAAACAGAGTATGCCTTCCCTTGAAGTTGAAGCCTACATTTGGGTCTTTTAAGGATGTGCTTTATAAGAGATGGAGAGCTGATTTGGTTCAGAGCATTTGCTCTGAAAGTTAGGTTCCCAGCACCCACATCAGCCAGCTCACAACTGCCTGTAACTCCAGCTCCAGAGGCTCGGATGCTCTCTTCTGGCCTCCATGGGCACCTGCATGCACATACACAGACACACAGGCACACATAAATAATTTTTAAAAAAGGAATGTGGCTCATAGTTTTTGATGTTTAAGTTTTGTATGGCTCTTGTTAAATTTAAAGGCAGGCATTTTCTTTTTTGCTATAGTGGAGACCGCCTCTTTTTCATTCTTTTCTACTGGTTCCCTAGTTACTGACCTGTAGATCAAAACTCCCAACTAATCGTGCTCCTTGTTTATTTTTACACCTTATATATTTAAATATTTTATTGAGTTTTCGTGCATTTCATATAATAGATCTTAACCTAATTTATTTAGAAGGTGTAATACAAACTAGCTGGGCTCTATCTGCATGTTGAACTGATCCCATTATTAAAGAATCATATTTTAGGAAAATTTTGTTTTAAAATTGTTTTCATGTGTGCCCATGCATGTCTGTGTAAACACGTGTGTGTGCACATACGTAGAGGCCCAAGGACAGTTTTGATGGTTGATTTTCAGGTGCTGCCCACATTTTCTTGAGACAGGGCCTTCTCACCAGACTGAAAAAATTTGGTCACACTGGCTGGCTAGTGATCCCATGATCCTCCTGTCCCCACCTCCCTAGCATCAGGATTAGAATCTTAACTGTGCTTGGCATTTCTCCATGGATTCTGGGAGAACTCAGGTCCCTGTGCTGACCGGGCAAGCACTTTACTGACTGAGCCATCTTCCCAGCTCCTTCAAATCATTTATAGTGACATAGTTGTATCCTCCCCTCCCATCCCCCACCCATCTAGTCCTTGTTCCCCACACGTACCCCTTTCTATTTCCATGTTTTCAAAAGATTGAGATTCCATGTATGAAAGATATTTATCTGAGTCTGGTTTACTTCTCTTAATATGATGATCCCTACTTTCAGTCATCTTCCTACACATGATAGGGACAGTTAAGGTCTGAAGGCACAGAGATGGAATTCTAGGAATAGTGGAGGAGCTGTGTCTCAAAGTAACACTCAGCAAGTGCCATAGCTCCTTAGCCCACTACCAGTCACCTTATCCTTATAAACCAAACTTCTCATTACAAGACTCTATATCATAGATTTGGCACGAGTTAAACAAAATACCGCACACACAGTACTCAGTGTGTAGTAAGCACCTGTAACGTATCTCCTGTGCTAATCATCTCGAATCCATCATCTCTCCAGACTTTCTGCTTGCACACCTTTTGTGTATTGGTGTCCCCCTCTTGTCAGCACATTATCCACTTAACTTCACTGATGGACACACATGCATGTGCAGTTGTGTGCACCCATATGCATATGCATGCATGCAGAGGCCAGAGGGAGATGTCCAGTGTCTATCAATCTTCAAACTATTGCCTCCAGGCTGAGTCTCTCACCACACTTGAAGCTTGCTGTTTACGCTATGCTGGCTGGCCAGCGAGCTCCCAGGATCCCCCTCTCCCCAACTCCATGCAACATGTGTACCATGCCATGCCCAGATTTCTCTGTTGGTGACAGAGATTTGAACTCAGGTTCTCTGACTTTCACAGTAAGTGCTCTCCCCAGTCTCTGATCCCTTTTTCAATTGACCTCTACTTTGGGGTGTAGGTGAGAATGATGAATGATTCTGCTGGAGAGGTGTTACTGTTTCTCTTAGGAGGTGGAGTGGTCCCATTAACGTTTCTCTTTACCCACCTCTGTCATCTAATACTCTATTCTCTGGTTTCCTTTGAATATTTTATGTGTGCATACGTGAGTGTATGTATGTGCAACATATGTGTGCAGATGCCCATGGAGGCCAGAAGAGGGCATGAGATTCCACGGAACTAAAGTACAGATGGTTGTGACCAACTCGTGTGGGTGCTGGGAACCTCAGCAAATGTCTTTAACTGATGAGTCAATTCTCAAGCCCTCCTTGGTTGCCTTTGTAACTGAATAGATCACATATCTTTAGTTACTTTAAAGAGACTCCTGTACAACATGTTTGCAAAGTTGTGCATTGTAATGATGTGTGTAATGTCAAGTATTAGAAACAACCTAACCCCTTATCAAGAGAATAGGTATGAAAATGAAATACCTATATTCACCTGCATTCTACATGTCAGGTTAAAAAAATAAAGGGTAATATACACATTGACATTAAACATTTTTGAGTTTTGTCTGCATGAAAGTACACCACACATGGCTGGGAAATGAACCTGCGTCCTCTGCAAGAGCGACCAGTGCTCTTAATCACTGAGCCATCTCCTCAGCTCCCATATAAACATTTTCTTAAGACAGGTTCTCATGTAGCCTAGGCTGGCCTTAAATTCTCTATGTAGTCAGAATGACTTTGAACTCCTGATTCCCCTGCCTCTACTTCTAGAGTGCTGGGATCACAGATATGTGCTACCACATCTGGTCATATAAACATTACATTTTTGGAAATTTATTTTGCGTGTGTGGATGCACATGCCATGGTGTGCATGTGGAGATCAGAAGATAACTTGGAGTCTGCTTTCTCCTTGCACCATCTGGGTTCCAGTGATCAAACTCAGGTTGTCAGGTGTGGTGGCACGTGCCCTTGCTGAGCCACTTTTCCCATTTAATGTCCACATTTCTAAACATCACTAGAAATGGTATTACATGTGACTACATAGTTCATATTTACTTTTGCTTTTTAGTCTAGTCACATGGGGACAGTATGCACATATGTGCTCATACACATTTAAATGCATTGTAAGTTTTTCAGTCTGTTAATGTTGATAGACACACACCTCTATCTACAGGGCTAGACTAACAATGGCAATTTGAATAATACATTCAATGTGGTCTCTTTCACATAGTTGGAAAAACTCACACTATGTAATTGAAAGGCTTGGTCAAGTGTATGAATGATATTGGAAGACCATCCACTGACCACACGGCAAGGTTGCTTGGGGAGTTCAAGGAGGGGATAATGAGGATATTTGCCTTTATTTGCAGTGTTAGGTACAAGAGAGAATGGGTGATTTATATAAAAATGTGTTTTTCACCATTGTAGAAGAGGGGGCAGAAAGATTGTAAGAGCCAGGTTGGTGCATGATCATAAAGAAACAGAGGCTTTCAGACTTCTGGGAACTTGAACTTACAGCAATGGTGTCAGCTTGCATAGGACCTATGCAAACTCAGTCAAAAATCCAGCATAGAACTGGGGAAATGGGCAGCAGGCCCCAACCTTAGCTAAAGAACTATTGGCAGCTGATTACTGCTGGGTGAGGGAGAGTTGATCTTCTTTAAGGGAGTGACTCTAGATAGGCTGACTAGACTGCAGTGGATGAACTTGCACCAAAGGACAGCTGGGCACACTAACCTGACTTGATAAGTCTTTACTTATATGACAGAATGCATGAAATCCTGGGGGGGGGACTGTGGATGGGGGAGGGGGTATAAAGATGATTAAAATGTTTTGTATGAAATGCACAAAAATTCAATAAAAATACACATTGAAAAAAATGTATGTGCTTTTCAAATGCCTTTACCCAGCAAGAGAAGAAAAAAACCCAGGTAGTTCCCCAGTAGAACTAACAAAAAAGACGGATCAAATCAGATCAGCCTTTCTAGGGCACTCAACATGGCCAGCATCTAAGTCAAGGTATGGCGATGCGGGTCTGGAGAGACAGCTCGGCACTACTCTTACAGAGGACTTGGGCTCAGTTCCCAGCACCTATGTTGCATTGCTCACAATTGCCTATAGCTCCAGTTCCAGGGGATCCAACACCCTCTTCTGGCCTCTGTGGGCACTGTGTTCATGTGTAAACACCCACACAGATACCGACACAAGTACACGTAATTGAAAAAACATTGTGCATTGGCAAACTCTAGCATGTAGACCAATTCCAGCTCCAAGACTGTTATTGTAAAGCAAATTTAAAAACATTTTATTATTTTTATGTGTATGATTGTATTGCCTGCATGTATGTAAGTGCATCCATGTTGTGCAATGCCCACGGAGGTAAGAAGAGTGTGTCTGATTCCTCTGGAACTGGAGTTACGTTAAGTAGTTAGTTGCCATGTGGGTGCTGGGAACCAAACCTGGGTCCTCTGCAAGAGCGGCCAGTGTTCTTAACCATGAAGTCATCCCTCCAGCCCCCTGTAAATCTATTACAACATAAAAATACAAATAAATCTAAAAAAGAAGATGGAGAGATGACCATATAAACATTAAGGTTTGGGATAAGAAGTCAAAGACTTGGAAAATGCCTGAAGTTATTTTTATTTCTTAAAACACAAAACAGCAATACTTTCCATCATCTTAGTGTGTGGTCTTGGCTTTCTGCTAAAGACTTCTTCTCATGCATATCTATTAAACCATCCCCCAACAACCTTCCAGGGTACCATTACTGCCCTCACCTATATGCTATGGCTCCAGTCATCCGTCAAGACACAATTACCGCTTTGAGATTTTCCAAAGCATTTAAAGATACTGAATACTTCATCAGGAGCTTAAGACTGGGAAAAAATAAATGCCATTATGAGACAGGATAGGAATTGTTACCATGAAGGTCTGAGTGGCTCATCTAAGAACAAATGAAAAACCACATCCATGTTACAAAACACACCTGACCAGGGTGCTAGAGAAATCATATCTCACAGGAATGTCAGTGATCTGTTTCTTACACACAGATGGGCCAAAGGCCCACTCCTTTTCCTTTGTAAGTGGCTTTGGGTCAAAATACGCTCAGACTTCTTACAATGGGATTTTCACACTTGTTTTCTGATTCTCTTACACATTGCTTATGATTGTTAAGTAGGGATTTCTCTCTTCCTCAGCGATCAGAAATGCTTGGGTTTCCTCATCAAAGTCAGTTACTCTCAGGCTGAAAAAATAAAAACAAAACCCATTGTTAACACTTTCAAAAGAGATTTCTATAAATTAAATTTTTTGGTTTTTTTTTGAAACAGGGTCCCAGCCTGGCCTGGAATTATTGTCGTCCAGGCTGGCCTTGATTTCACAGAGATCTGCCCACCTCTGCTCAGATTTATTTACTTGTTTTTCAGATTTTTAGAAATGTATTATCTAGTTATTATGTGTGTGTGCCCGAGTGAATTTGTGTGTACCACATGTGTGCCTGGCACCTGTGGAGGCCAGAAGAGAGCGTTCAATACCCTGGAACTGGAGCGATGGGCAGTTATGAGCTGCCTTATGGGTGCTGGGAACTGAAACTGGGTCTTCTCTCTAGCCCCAAAGATTTTATTTTTAATTATGTGTGTGTGTGTGTGTGTGTGTGTGAGAGAGAGAGAGAGAGAGACAGACAGACAGACAGACAGACAGACAGACAGACAGACAGACAGAGAAAGAGAGCAGTGCTTGAGGAGTCCAGAAGATGGTGTCAGATTCCCCAAAGTTGGACATCCAGGCAGTTGTGAGCTGCCAAGTATGGATGCTGGGAACAAAATGTGGGTCCTCTGTAGAGCAGCACACACTTGTGACTGCTGAGCCATCTCTCCGGTGCCTCACAGCTCCTTTTGTGTTTGTTGCATCTTATTTTCCCTCCATAAAATTTTCCAGGTCAAGTTCAAGAGACCCTGGTGTTGCGTCTAAGTGGAGTGACACACCCATTTATGTTTAACACTTGGATTCTTCCATAAAAGTTATGATTTGCTGGTTTGCCCATGTGTGTGCACGCATGCGTGTGTGTGTGCGTGTGTGTATGCTCAAATGCAGGTGCATGTGAAGTGTGAGTTGTATGCATGTGAAGGTGAAAATTCAATCTCAAGGATCTTCCTCAGTTGCTCTGTATCTTTTGGAGACAGAATCTCTCACTGAACCAACCATTCACTGATTTCCAGGACCGTAAGCTTCAAGGCTGCACCTGTCTCTGTTGGTACCAGAGTTACAGATGTGCAAGTCCACGCCTGCCTCTTTTATGTGGTTTTGAGAATTTGCACCCAGACCCTTATACTTTTTCCCCAGGCACTTTACCCATGGAGCAATCTCCCCAAATCTGGCTTTGCCTATGTCTGTGGTGTAAATTCTACAACCCAACCATGATCTATTTCAATCTGACACCAACATCCAGAAATGGTGACAGAATGCACGGATTCCACATAAGCAGAAGGACTTAGTATGAGAAGTCAGTAGATGATTTGGAAAAGGTTGAAGCTATTTTTATGTTTTGAAACACAAAACAGTGGGACTGGGAGGTGGCTCAGTAAAGAGTGCTTGCTGCTCTGGGAGGGGCCCAGACTCTGGTTCCCAGCATCCATGCTAGGTGGCTCACAACTGCCTCTAACTTCAGTTCTAGGGGATCTGATGTCCTCTTCTGGCCTCCGTGGGTACCTGCATGTACCTGCATGCAAGTGGCATATACAACACACACACACACACACACACACACACACACACACACACACACAAATATAAACAAACCCCACAAAACAGTAATAAGTTTCCATGATCTGAGGTCTTGGATCTCTGCTAAAGGTTTCTCATGAATCTTGAATTGAAATTTCCTAACAGGTAGGGTTGGGTTTCTTACCCACGTCCCCATGTCTATGCTGGGATTGTGTGTGACCTGAGCTTATGTGGGACTTGTGCATGCTGTCACCACTGCTGTGAGTTCATGAGTAACTGCCCATCTATGTGGAAAATATTGTATGAAATTTGTGAAAATCCAATTTAAAATGGAAAATATTTCCTAACAACCTTCTAGGGTACCATTATTGCCCTGACTTGTGATGAAGATGCCCAGGGAATGCTACACAACTGGCCCAAGGCCACAAATCCAGAAAAGCAGTAGAGTAAGGACATTAGGTCTGGCAATTTAGGGCTGGAGCTCTGCACAGATACACACATTCCATCACTCGCTTGGCTCATGCAGGAGGACTTAGGATCCCTGTGTCGTGTTCGTCTGTGGGTAGAAACACTTCCTGGGCTGGAGAGAAGGCTTATTCAGCGAAGTGTTTACTGGCAAGCATGAGGATCTGACTTCGATCCCCAGTACCCAACATCCACGCTGGGTGGTTCACAACAGAAAGCTGGGCATGGTGGTACATGTAATCCTAGTACTGGCGACAGGGAGACAGGTGGATCCCTGTGGCTCACTGGCCAGACGGCAAAGCCTAGGTCCCGTGAGAGAGCCTATCTCAAAAAATCAAGGTGGGTGGCACCTGGAGGAACCACCCCTCCAGCTCACACATGCATTCACCTGCACACACACACACACACCTGCACACACAATCACAGATAAACACACTCACACATACAGAATGCTTCCTGCTTCTGTCTACGGTTTGTACATGTCACTAGTGCACCTACTTATCCCAGTGCACCGCTCTATGAGACAGTCCATGGTTGGAGAAGGGTAAGAAGAGATGAAAATTCACTTACTTGATTTCATAAGTTTAACACATTATCTGAAATGCATGTTTGTTTTTCTTACGTCAAATAATCATTCTTATTTTGAAGATCAAAGACTGATCATTGAAGAGGACTAATATCTTACCTGTAGCTGCAGGATAAACACCTCTGAACTGTGATCACGCCCAGAGCCCCATGGCTTGTAAAAATGACAGACAGCTCACCTCTTTCCACCTCACTCTGCATCAGCTCAGTGTACTCTGAGTAACAGAAGTCACACTTAGAAATGGTGCAGGTGCCCAACATTTGCAGAGGGATATTGGTAAGTGTGAACTCCAAGGAAATGAACCAGTGGCTTCACAAGAGCGATGGCTGGAGTTACAAAGTTTTAACACCACATTTAAAAACTATGTCCAGCTCATGGCCCAAGGGAGCTATGGATGTGGCCTGGCACAAAATTGTAAACTTATTTAAAACATTGTAAGGTTGTTTTGGTGATTTTTAAATTGTTATGTGTTTGAGTGTTTTGCCTGCGTATACATAAGTGCACCAAGTATGTGCAATGATCATGGAAGCCATAAGAGGGCATTGTTAGCCACCATGTGGGTGCTAGGAACTGAATCTGGGTCCTCTGCAAGAGAAGCTAGTACTCTTAACCATTGAGCCATCTTTCCAACCCCATGGTGATTCTTTTTTTTTTTTTTTTTTTTGGTAACTCAATTGTGGTTCCTGAGTATAAACTTTGTGGGTGAGGCAGGCAGATCTTTGTGAATTCAAGGCCAGTCTGGTCTACATAGTAAGTTATAGGCTAGCTGGGTCTATAGGGAGACCCTGTCTCAAAAAGACCAAAAAAAATGTACTTAGGGACTGGAGGGATGCCTCGCAGTTAAGACTTCTGGCTGCTCTTCCAGAAGACCCAAGTTCTGTTCCTAGCACCCACATGGTAGCTGACAACTATATAACTCCAGTTCCAGGGGATCCAGTGCCTCCTTCTGACATCCATGAGCATTTCATGACATGGGTGCACTTACATACATGCAGGAAATACACTCATACACATAAAATTAAAAATAATTTTTAAAAATTAAAAATGCATTTAACATACATAACCTATGAACATGTATTACTAGCTTAGCTTGTCTTAAATATGTTCAGAGCACCCAAATTAGCCTCCAGGTGGGCAAAACCATCTAACACAAGCCCATCTTATATTAAAATATTGAGCACCTCGCATAATTCATTGACTACAGCATTGAAAGTAAAAACAAAAGTTAACGGCTATATGGGCATCCTTTCAAATTGTAGAGCAAAGACATCTTAAGTCAGGGTTTCTCCACATACATAAAATATATCTATAGGTATATTTATGTATTATAATAATTTGACTTATAATAGTTCCAAGTACCACCAGTACTTGGACACTCACTAGTCACTGGCACAAGGGACTTATGATTAAGCTCATACTCCCGTATCAATAGCTCCAAGGCAGGGAACATTAGCAGCATTTTAAAAATTTTATAACCTCCCCTCCCCATCAGCCATTAACTACCCAAAGTCCCTCAGTGTGGAGTGGGGTCTCATGACAAGATATGCTCACTGGTGCAACAGTGGCACAACTATTAGTGGGGTAACCAACCACCTATGACTGAGATCTGAAATGTGAAGATGTGATGGTATAAAATCATTGTATTTAAAATGCAAATAAAGGGGGCCAGAGAGATGGCACAGCTGTTAAAAGCTAAGACCAACAACCAAAACATAATGTAAGTAAGAGGGCTTGGGGATAACTTTGTCAGTTGCTGTGCAATCATGTAGCCATGAGTTCAAACTCCAGGACCCACATTAAAAGGCCAGGCATGAGAGTGTATACTTAGAATCCCAGTACTGGAGCGGTAAGGACAGGGAGATCCCCAGGGCTCACGAGCCAGTCAGCCTAGCACAACTGGTAAGTCAAAGGCAAAATGAGCACCCAAGAAATGACATCCAGGATTATCCCCTAGTCTCCGTATGCATAAACACACACACACACACACACACACACACACACACGACTGCAAGTAGTCCAATCACAGGTGGTTGGTTACCCCAATAACTGTCCTAAGGACTCTTCCCACTGAGAAGAACAAAGACTGGCTCACCCAAGTACATGCAGGTTACACTTTGGCTGTTTCAGGGCCTCACACAGCACAATCACCCCACTGCTGTCCAAGGTGTTCTCCAACAGGTTAAGTCCCCACAGGGTCTCACTCTGGGTAAAAGCAGAAGCTAGGTCCTCACAGCAGGCACCAGTTAGCTCACAGGCCTCCAGACTGTAACAGAAAGACACACCATCAGGAACAGCTGCACCCCAGGATAGGAAGGCAAATTGATGGATGGGAGAGGACTCAAGACATTTAGCCTACATTCACTGCACGGCCTCTGGGGACAGTCTCTAAAAGCCCATTGTTCATGGCATCAGCTTTTCCCTCTGTAGATGTGACTAGATGTCCATTCTCTGTATCCATGCCTGTCAGGAAGGGACTTTAAAGCTCATTCCACAAACAGAGTCTGTTGTCCCAGTCCTTGAACATGGGCTGAAATTGTATCTTGCCTTGGAAGCAAAGACATGTGAGTTCTGAGCCTAAACCTTGATCTGAACCCCTGAAATTCATTCTGCGGACTGAACTGTCTCCCCTCCAAATCTGGATGTTGAAGTCTGAAGTCCCAGTACCTCATAATGTAATTTCATTTGGAGACAGGATCTTTATAGAAGCAATTTAGGTAAAATGAGGACATTAGGGTGGTGTGGTGGCTGGAAGGAAAAACGTCCCCTATAGACTCAAGTATTTGAACACTGTATATGGTCCCCGGTTAGTGGTGCTGTTTGGGCAGTCACAGAATGTCTAGGAGGTATGGCCTTGCTGGAGGAAGCACATCACTGGGGGGGGGTATTTTTGAGTTCATAGCCTTTCCCCACGTCCAGTCTGCTTCCAGTGTGTGGTTGAAGATGTGCATGCTCGGCTTTCTGCTTTAGCTGCCTCTGCTGCCATGCCTCCCCATCGTGATGGGCTCTTATCCCTCTGGAACCACAAGCTAAATAAACTCTTCTAAAGTTGCCTTGGTCATGGTGTTTTATCACAGCAATAGAACATTAATATAGCAGAGTCTAATCCATCCATCATGCATCCATCCATGTATTCAACCATCAATTATCTATGCATATATGCATCCATGCATGTAACTATCAATGCATCCATCCATGTATTCAACCATCTATCAATGCATCCATCCATGCATGTAGCCATCCATGGATCCATGCATACATCCTTCCATGTATTCAACCACCATTCATTCATCCTGCCTCCATCCCTGACAATGTGATCATCACCTGTGTGATCAATGCACCCACGCATGTACACATCCATCCTGCCTCCATCCCTGACAATGTGATCATCACCTGTGTGATCAATGCACCCATGCATGCACACATCCATCCTGCCTCCATCCCTGACAATGTGATCATCACCTGTGTGATCAATGCACCCATGCATGCACACATCCATCCTGCCTCCATCCCTGACAATGTGATCATCACCTGTGTGATCAATGCATCCATGCATGCATACAACCATCCTGCCTCCACCCCTGACAGCAAGGCTGCCCCAGATCACAATCACCTATGTGATCAAGCTTTCTAAGTCTGCCCAGTTGAGATCAACCATGCTTGGCCAGACCAGCGATCAGACAGCAGCAGGGGTTCGTTACCCACAGCCTTGAGGCTGACTCTGCAACCATGGCTGACTGCTACACTGTTCTATGCCATTTTTCTTCTGCTCTCAATTTCCTGTCTTTTGCCTCCTGCAAAGACACAGCCATGACCTTGAGGACACTCACCCTAGGTTCTCTAGGTGGCAGTTGGGATGCTTCACAGCGTCACACAGCAGCTTTACACCAGCATCCTTTACCTTATTTTCTGAGATCTGCAGACTTCTCAGGTTGCCATTGCTGCGGAGGACTGCAGCCAGGTCTTGGCAGCCACTAGCAGTGATGAGACAGTTTCTCAAACTGCAAAAAAAAAATCATGATCCAGTAGTCCTCCCTTTATTGAAAGAGGACATGTTCCCAACTCTTGGTGGACACATGAAACATCAGATAGGACCAAACCCTGCAGATCATCCTTTCAACAATCCATTGACAACAATGATAAAGTTTAATTTACAAACTAGGCACACTATGATTAACACCACAATAAAACAAAACAATTTTAACAATACACTGTACTAAGGGTTGATATTATAATTGTTAAAAATGTTTTTGTAGTATGGCTGCCTTCGGGTAACCAGGGGCACCGCTGGGCTGCTCTCCAGGGGCACCACACTTTTGTTGGTATAAAGGAAAGAAAGATGTCAAAGTGCTACTGTTTTAATCACCCATGTGGACAACGGCTGTCCAGGGAATGCTGACTGAAGCTGGCTTTTTCTCTCAACTATCAGTGATACCCTTGGCCTTGATCTGAACACCTGTGGATGGATTTATTTCTGAACTGTGTTTCTGATCTCTTGAATTCCTATATGACTCACACTGAATTTTTTTTATGTGAACTTGTATGTGCATAATGTGTGTGTGTGCTGGTGCTCAGAGTCCAACAGAGAGCAATGGATCCCTTGGAGCTGGAGTTACAAGTGGTTGTGAGCCGCCCAACATGGATGCTTGGAACTGAACTCAGGTCCTCTGGAAGAGAAGCAAGTGCTCTTAACCACTGAGCCATCACTCCAGCCCTCGCACTGTTTTTAAATCTGTGAAAATACTTTTGAGTGAGAATATTTTGTATTCTTGAGGTGCTTGTAGATATTTTTGGCTTCCTAAAAGTTCCATATACATTTTATTTATTCATTTATTTTATTTTGCCTTTCTAAGGCAGGGTCTTAATCCAGTCCAGGCTGACCTGAAGTTTACAGCTCAGGCAAGCCTTGAACTCAGAACCATCCTTCTCCCACAATCTTCCAAGTGCTATGATTACAGACATGAGCCACCATGTCCAGCTCCATAAACATAGAATTTACTCTTAAAGTTCAATGATAATAAACATGAAACTAAAACAGCACATTTTCACTGGTGTTTCAGTAAAATCGCATTTGATTTGTGGAGAACTGACTTTTTACAAATACTTAAACATTTAGTGCATGTAGTGCCTGTGGACTTACAGTTGTTAGCTATCATGTGGGTGCTGGGAACTGTTCTTGGCAAGAGCAGCCAGTGCTTTAATTGCTTAGCCATCTCTCCAGCTCCTAGAACCGATTCTTTAAATGTGATTCCAAATTTGAACATGGGTATTTTTCTTTTATACTATTTCATAATATTCTATGCAGTTAATTTTTGATATTATATACCTTTAATATAATCTCCAGTAGCCCCAGTCACCCCAGAACTATGTAGACCAAGCTGGCCTTGATCTCAGAGAGATCTGCCTGCCCGTCTCCTGAGTGCTGGGATTAAAGGCATGCACCACCACACCCAGTGTGATATTATGTACTTATAGTTCGTATAGTGGCTTTTCTTTTGAATATCATTCCAAGCAAGCTTGCTAGAGGTATTAGCTCTGACAGACTATCTGCATATCTTCTTTAAGTTTTTTAATGTATGTTCTTTAATTTTTTTATGTATTTTATGTGTATGAATGCTTTGCCTGCATGTATGTTAGTATACCACGTGTGCAATGTCCTCAGAGGCCAGAAGAGGGTGTAGAGGGTGTCACAGATGGTTGTTAACTTCCTCTGCAAGAGCAGCCAGTGCTCTTAACCCCTGAGCCATCTCTCCAGCCCCTTTACGTATGTTCAAATCATCTGCATAAAACTGGCTGCTTCTTTCTTTCCTGTTTCTCTAAGAATTACAGGTTTAAGCCCCTTCCGATCTATTCGCCTACCTACCTACACACCTGCCTACACAGCTACAGAAACTTTTAGCTCTTCCCAACATTTCCAGGATTTTGTAGACCAAAAGGAACTATAGGCAGCCTTTTTCTCTTTTTCTTGAAGTAGAACAGAAATCTCTTCATTGTTAATGTTTGATTTAGACACTTTTGGGGAGTTAGGTCTCTGTCCACCTTGATGAGGCTGGGCCTCTCTGTTTTTTGCTGCACTGCATTCTCCAAGCTAAGATACACAAGCTTCTGGCCAATTCCTGTCTCTACCTCCCAATTCACTATAGGAGTGCTGGGATGTGTGCCACCACACGACTTTTCAAAAAAAAAACTTTTTAATTCATGTATGAATGTTTTGCCTGCATGTATGTATGTGTACATGTGTGTGCCTGGTGCCTACATAGGGCAGAAGAGAGCACTGGATCCTCTAGGACTGGAGTTAAGGACAGTTTTGAGCCGCCATGTGGGTGCTGGGAACTGAACCTGGGTCCTCTGAAGAGCAGCATGTGGTTCTATCCGCTGCGCCATCCATCAAGTCCCACATTTCACCTTTTTCTTTTTGTCTTTTTGAAGCAGGGTCTCTCTGTAGCCCCAGCTGTCCTGGAACTCACTATGTAGACCAGGCTGGCCTTGAACTCACAGAGATCCGCCTGCCTCTGCCTCCCAAGTGCTGGGACTACAGGTGTGCACCACCATACCCTGCTACCACATTTGACTTTTTATAGGTTCTGGGGGAACAAACTCAGGTTGTCAGGCTTGCACAGTGCTTTTTACATACTGATTATCTCACCAGCATTTACTGTATTCTTTATTAGATCAGAGATGTCACCAGATATTAACAACCTTTCAAGAGTTGTCATAATAGAAATACTGTGTTTCTATATTTTTTTCTTATTTTTTGAGACAGGGTCTCCCTGTAGCCTCAGCTGGCCTGGAACTCACTATGTAGACCAGGCTGGCCTTGATTTCACAAAGATCTGCATACTTTCTGCCTCCTGAGTGCTGGGATTAAAGGTGTGCACAACCATGTCTGTCTTGTTTCTGTATTTTTGATAGGTTTTTATTTTTTGTCTTTTTGAGACAGGGTCTCCCTGTAGCCCCAGCTGGCCTGGAAGTCACTTTGTAGACCAGGCTGGCCTCGAACTCAGAGAGATCCACCTGCCTCTGCTTCCCAAGTGCTGGGATTAAAGGCATATGCCACCACACCCAGCTGATAGGTTTTTATTTTTCTCTGTGGTCTGCATCTTTATGGAAAAATTTTAGCCTTTATACATACACACATATGAGCAAAACACTCATAATATATATGAACCATGTGCATGTAATGTCTGCAGAAGCCAGGAGGACATTGGATCCCCTGGAACTACAGTTATGGACAACTGTTAGCTGCCATGTGGGTGCTGGGAACTGAACCTGGGTCATTTGCATGGGCAGTCAGAACTCTTAACCACTGAGCCGTCTCTCCAGCCTCCTGCTTTACTTCTTAAACCGTTTTAGCTTTCTGCAGTATTCATTACATGCACGAGAACTTCCTAGTCTATCTGCCAACTCTTCTGATGTCTCTAATTTCCATATTTGTCTCTCTTTTCACATTGTCTTCTAGACAGCTATGACTTACCTTCAGTTTTACTGACATTTAAAGGACTATTTAACTTTCAACCCATGTGCTATGATTTTAATATTGCTAATTTCTAGATGTTCCATTTTATGAAGCCAAGTTGGAATTTATTAAAGATATTTTTAAAGATTTACTTTATTTTTAATTAAGTGTATGTTGGCTTGTGTATGTGAACCTGGGTGCTGGTGCCTGTGAAGTCCAGAAGAGGGTGTTGGATCCCCTGGAGCTCAAGTTACAGATGGCTGTTTGCTGTCTGACGTGGGTACTGGGAACCAGACCTGGGTCCTATGGACAAGGAGCAAGAGTTGTTAACCACTGAGCCATCTCTGCAGCCCCTACTAAGTATATTTTAAATGGAGATTTTAAGCGTGAGGGTTAAGAGAAAGAGGTGCTCTGGAAGAGAGACACATTTGACAGCCTGAGTGTGGACTTCTGTAAAAGTCACCCCATTTTATTGTTTGATTGCCAATTTTATGCTACTTCATGGCTTCGTAAGAATTTAAACTTGCTCTTTAAATGTGGTAACGATACTTGCTTCAGAGGAGTTTGGTCATTCCAGTGTGAGGTTTGGAGACAGTTTTGGTTCTGGTTGCCCCCTTTCACTGTCCTTAATGCTGTTGTTTAGGTTATTTTAACCATCTGTTCATTATTGACCTTGAAAGTTTAGGAGTAAATGAGTCAAGGTCAAGGATTACCTCATCTTATTATCCACCTCCAGAGAAGATCTTTTACTTGCACCTTTCAGGGCTCTGTTTAGTACAAGTTTAAGGTTATTCCCATTTTAAATGCATGTTAAGTATTTTTAGAAAACCCCAAGTGCTTCATACTTTATGACTATTTCTGCTCAGCTTCTAGACGTTTTTAATGCCTTGTCTTACTTCTTTTTTGTAGTGCTGAGGATTGAAGTTGTTCTTAATGTTTTTAAAGTACATCGTTAGCTGACATTTTCAGGGGCTTTTAATTTCTAGGCTGATCTGGAGAGCCAAAGCCACCATTAGGAGGGAAGTAAGACTGCCTAGTTCTCCCATTCCATTATCTAACCTGCTCTTCTGGCAAGGACTGAAGTTTTAAAGTCTGAGATTTCATATCAGATTTGGTAAAATCATTCTCCCAAGTCCCACAGATCTTTGGATTTCTCGTGGAAAGATGATTTGGTCGTGGACTGCTAAAGCACTTGGTAAGCCCAAAACAACCAGCCTAGGTCATGCAAATGCCTCTCAATTTAATAACATGAAATTAAATGTTTTGTTACCTCCATTCCCATTTTTAACTATCCTTTATTCTTTCGAAGGCAGTCCCCGTTTCACGTACATTAATTCCAAATGTATTCTTTGAGTCCCTGTCCTCCATATCGTACCTTTGTTTGCGTCTGAAATGCATCCCACATCATGAAGGATTAGACCATCTCATACCACATCCATAATAAACCCTTCCTCCCTTAAGCGGCTTCTGCCAGGTGTTCTGTCACAGTGCTAAAAAGTACCAAATACACCTTTCTACACAGAATTCTTGATCTCTACCTCCAATGGATGACATCCATTCATCATAGCACAGACGTCAATCATCTTAACCGTGTAACCATCCCTTGGACCCAAGTCATGAATCCTCTCTTTCTCTAGGTTTCTATGTCCATATTCCTCAGAGTGACGGACTACCTATCAGTAAACCTGAGACACCACAGTCAATGCGCAGATCTGTTCTCAGGAAAGTCCCCTCTGGGATCTGAGTTGAGCATTTCTAACCTCTGTATTTTTCAGGCATGGACACGTAAAGGCCTTCCTGGGCAGGATGGTCAGGCCTCCAATGCCAGCCTCAAGAAGACCTACCACAGTGATTTCAGGCCACTTTCGGGGAGACTCAGGGCTTCACAGAGAATCTTCAGTCCTTCATCCTTGAGGGAATTAGAACTGAGGTCTAGGTGGCTCAGGGTTTTGTTTGTCAGAAGAACTTCACGGATGTATCCCCAACTGTTGTCACTGAGGTGACAGTTGGCCAACCTGCGGGGACAAAATGTTGGAGGAAAAGAGGGCTGTGAAGGAGGAAATGCAAACACAACCTGACACAAAAAAATTTAAGCGAGGCAGTAAGCTTCCAGCATATCTGAACACGTCTCCGTCTCTTCTTACAGGAGAAAAGAATTAGAAAAGAGAACAGAGTAATTCGTAAGAAAAACAGTGGTGGAGGTACAGATGGGGGAGGGGATCTAAATACCATCAAATTATATTGTAAGGAAATCACAAAAATTCAATAAAAACAAAAGTATATAAAAAACAGGGCTAAGGAGCTGGAGAGATGGCTCAGTGGTTAGGAGCACTGGCTGCTCTTGCAGAGGACCTGGGTTTGATTTCCAGCACCCACATGGCAGCTAACAACCATCTGTAACTCCAGTTCCAGGGACACTTTCTTCTGACCTCCATGAGCATTGGATGGCATAGGTACAATACACTCATACACATAAAATAAAGATAATAAATAAAATATTTTTAAAAATCAGGGCTGGAGAGATGGATCAGTGATTAAGAGTACTGGCTACTCTTACAAAGGACCTGGGTTCAGTTCCCAGTGGCTCTGTAACTCCAGTTCCAGGGTATCCAATGCCCTCTTCTGGCCTCTGTGGGCACTGTACACATGTATGCATAAACACGCAGGTGTACACATATACATATAAAATAAATTTAAGTAAATAAAAGGGCTTAAGAGATGACTCAGAGGTTAAGAACACTTGCTATTCTTCCAGAGGACCCATGTTTGATTCCCAGCACCCACATGGCAACTAATAACCATAACTCCAGCTACACGTGATCCCAACACCCTCCTCTCTAGCCTCTGTGGGCATTGCACCCACATGGTGCACTTACACACATAGAGGCAAAACACTCATACACATAAAATAAAAATATTTAACAATAAAATAAAACAGAGTAAAATAGCATAGTTAATACTCCCTTGTGCCTTTCAATTTTTTTCCCGTGTGTGTGTATGCAGAGGCCTCAGTTTGATTTCTACTTATTGAGGCAGGGTCTCTCAATCAAACTCAGAGTTCACTGATATGGATAATCTTGCAAAGCCAGCTTGCTCTAGGACTCTCCTGTCACTGCCTTCCAGGCTGGAATTCTACAGGGAATTTAAATGGGTTTGGTGGGGGGATTTGAACTCTAGGTCTTTTGTCTGAATGGCAAGCACTTTTACTGCTAAGCCATCTCACCAGCCCCTAGTTAAAACTTTTTAGAACAAAGTTTTAGCTTCAATTCTGAAACCAGTTCTCCCAGGCAGGGAATTAACCAAGGAAACTGGAGCTGTGTCTCCTGGTGGTCACAATACCACACTGTGGTTAAATCTCCTTGAGGATCTAGTTAGGTTCATTCTGTTGTATCAGAAACAAAAGTATAGAGAACTTGTCCAATTGTGACACAGGAAATAAAGGTTTTGCATCTTCAAAGACAAAGATTCACCATAATACATTTGTACTGTGGTTCTGATCTCTCCCCTCCCCCCTTTAGGTTTCTAAAAACTACTTTTCTTGACTCAAGAACTTCATACAATGCGTTCTGAGCATATTCAGACGTCCCTCCCTACGTATCCCACCTCACTAACCCTACACATCTTCTGTTACTATTTATTTTTTCAAAGGCCTATTGAGTTTAATCTGTGTTTCCTAAATGCTCTTGGGCGTGGGTTCACTCCACGGAGTCTGGTCAACCTACCAGGTGTCATACTAGCAAGGAAAACTGCCTCTCCCTCTATCTATAAATTGCCAATAGATCCTCAGCTAGGGCCGGGCTTCCTGTCTACCTCCCCATCCGTGCTGGGCCCCAGTCTGGCTTGGGTTTGCACAGGTCTTGTGTATCCTGTCATAAGAATTGTGGGTTCATATGTGCGAATACCTTGTGGTGTCCATACAACACAGTTCCCTTGTATTCACCTCTGGTTCTTACAGTCTTATGCTCCCTCTTCTGTAATGATCCCTGTGACCTGGAAGTCCCTCTGACCCTATGATGACAAGCCATAGTCCTACCTCCTTCCCACGCTCTGCAGGAGGCAAGCCCGTTACTTGTCCCAGTCAATCAGTTGACCTTAGCTGCATGAAGGGGAGGGGCTATGGATATATAAGCCGAGAAAACCATGAGGCCAGTCTCTTGCCATTTTATGTGGCTGTTGGGAAGCCACAGGATTTATGTTTGGGTGTGGGCTTTCTTTCAATCAGTCGTGGAGGAGGGGGGAGCCCACTCTTCTGTAAGTAAACCAGCACCCCAAGCTCAGTTAGCAAGTCCAATAAACTCGTTAAGACTCTCCAAATGGCGGTTTCGGAGAATTCTTGCCTCAGGTTGTCCTAAGGACGGTGGGAGGAGGGTTTGGATGCCATGTGTGCCTTCTGGCAGTGAATTTGACTTTAAATCCCTAAGCCATGGGAGGCAGGGTGTGACGTAGGTGTCCCACTTAGGGCTGAGCGCTCTGCAGTCTCTTGTTCTCTGCACACTGACCAGCTGTGGGTCTGTGTTAAATGCCATCGGCTGCAAGAAGCAGCGTCTCTGGTGAGAGTGCAGAGATGCCCCCTTGCAGGTTTTTGAAGAGGATCATGGAAACACCCTACAGCAGAGATCTGATTCCCATCATGATTTGGGAGTGAAAAGGGATCACCTTACATTGTAAGGATTGTCAACCCCCTCATATTCATAAAAGCCTCATAAAATAACAAATCCTGAACCTGCCGCTGTTACCCGCCCCCCCTTAGGCAACGTGCTCCAAGCTCTTCAGCATACTATTGCTTTGTTTTATTAAATAAATCTCCACTTAAGTGGCCATCACTCCGCTGAATTCTTCCCTTTGAGAAGAAAAGAACCAAGGAAAACTCCATCCCAGTAACAATCCATTTTTCACACTCTCCCATAAACTAGTTTAAACCACCTCTGTACTGCTGTAATACAGAATACAACTTAACTGCCATTCATCTAACTACTGCACTGCGCTGGTTAGCAGATGACAAAGAAAAACGATCTGTAAATGTGCAGTACAGACCATCTATTACTGTGTGTGCATATGGTGCGTGGTGCATGGTGTATGTGTGTGGTGCTCAGAGGACAGCTGTTTGGAGTCAGGCCTCTGCTTCGTCCTTTACATTGGCTCAGAGGATCAGACTCAGGTTGTCAGGCTCATGTAGCACGCACCTTTATGCACTTAACTATCTCAATGGCTCCCAAAACAAATTTTTTTCTGTGGATATTTTTAACTCAAAGTTGGTGGAACCATGGATATGGGTTGCTGACTGCACATGCTCTGTAGGGACTACTTAATATTCTTATGATTTGTAAGGCAGGCTTTTTTTTGTCTCTATTTACAGAGGAGCAAACTGAGCCTAAGGGAGTTTGGGTAACTTTCTCAAGACAGTCTTATCAGTGGCAAATCTAGGTCTGGAATTGCACCTGGGTCCTTATACCTGCTAGACAACTATTCTGCCACTGAGTTACATTCCCCATGCCCCATCCCTCTTCTGACATTTTTGGGGGGGATTTTTTTTGAGACAGCATCTCCCTGTAGCTCCAGGTGCCTGGAACTCACTCTGTAGACCAGGCTGGCCTCGAACTCACAGAGGATCCACCTGCCTCTGCCTCCCAAGTGCTGGGACTAAAGGCATGCACCACCACACCTGGCTTCTTCTGACATTTTGAGACAGGGTCTTATTACATTGTGAGGTAACCTGAAATCTTTCTGTCACAGCCTCCTCAATAGTTGAAATTACAATAGTTGGAATTATGTGCAACCAAACCAGGCTCATGGCTTAACGATTTAAAATTTTTTAATTATGTGTGTGTGGGGGGGGGTATGTGCATGTGTGCGAAATGCCCACAGAGGTCAGAAGAGGGAGTCAGACCACCTGAAGTTGGAGTTATAGGCAGTTGTGAGCTGCCTGATGCAGGTGCTAGGAACTGAACTTGGGTCCTCTGTGAGAGCAGCATGTGTTCTTAGCCACTGAACCATTTCTCCAGCCCTCTGGTTTGTGTTTCTGATTCTCACGTTTATACTCTGAAAGTTCTGTTACATGGGTCTATCAATGGGCAGATAGATTTTAAGTAATTAATTTCTTATGTGTGGCATGTGTATGTGGAGGCCAGAGTTTGATGTTGGGCATCTTCTCCAGCTGCCCTCTGCCTTAAGATTTCGTTATTTTTAAGTGTTATGTTGTGTTTCCGAGCATATGTATATGCACTACATGAGTGCAGGTGCCCATGGAGACCAGAGGAGAGTGTCAGACTGAAATGGTAAAACTAACTCCAATTTGCTCTAGTTGACTTTTGCTTTACCCTGGGTTTCTGCCCAGCCATTCCCTCATAGCCAGTCAGGTAGACCGTCTCATGCAGGCAGGTTCAGGGAGCACACTGTTTCTGCAGTACTGGGAAACTTATAAGTAGCCAGCTATCATGTCCAGGTAACACATCCTCCCTCCCACCTATACCTGTATCTCTGTGGAGCCTATTGCTTCTACAGTTCTTAGAAACTTGGTATTTCCTAATCAAAACTTGTTAACTGAAAACCTCTTTGTTAACTGACCTGCCCCTGGTCTGATTTAACTATGGTGATCTGATGTAACTATGGTTATTGGTTTTGCCTCTGGCATGATGTAATTGTGGTATTAAGCTCTATAAACCCTGTCCTGCTTCTCCTCAGGTTGAGAATTCTTTGGGGCATGAGCCCCGGCACTGGCTTTTACTAAAAGACTCCTAATTCAATCATCACTATGTGACATAGTCCTCTGTGCATCTCTCTTGGTATTACAAGATCCCCTAGAATTAGAGTTGCTGGTGGTTGTGAGTCACCTGATATGGGTGTTGGGAACCAAATCTGGGTCCTCTGCAAGAGCAGAGAGTGATCTTAACTGCCAAGCCATCTCTCTAAGGCCCCCTCTGCCTTGCTTTTTGAGATAGGGTCTCTCACTGAACCTGGAGCTCACCAATGTGGCTTACTCCTGAGCTCTTAAGATCCACCTGTCTTCATCTCTCAACTCTGGGGTTAGAGATGGCACACTGTTGTGCCTGGCAGGAAGTATGCTTACCACTGAGCCATCTCCCCAGCCCCCCAATGGACAGAATTTAGTCGTTATTTCCATGGATTCAGATAGCGGCCCCTCCCCATGCCCACTTACACCAGGAACTTGAGGATACAGTTTTGGCTGCATAAAGACTGGCACAGTGACTGTATCCCTTTGTCCAAGTGGTTGGATCCAATATTAAGATGCTTCAGCGTCTTGTTGCTGATCAGGACTGGGGCAAAGATCTCAAAGTCACTGGAGGAGAGGTTACAGTCGGTCAGCCTGTGGGGAAGGGAGAACACACTGCATTCTTTTTCATCTTCTGGATATATTCCCTTCACTGCTCCTCAGGGATCCATCAGGGACCTCATGGGTCTTGACAGTCCCTTAATTTTTTTTTATTTACTGTTTGAGAATGTCCTACATCTATACAACATGTTTTGATTCAATCCATCCCCAACCCCTCCCCTCCAACTCCTCCCAAATATCCCCCACCCTCATCTCCCTCCAAACTTTATGTACTTTAAAAAAATATATATTTTATTTTTTTATTTTATGTGTATGCGTGTATTGCCTGTGTGTAGGTAAGTGCACCGGTGTCATGCAATGCCTGTGGAGGACAGAAGAGGCTGTCGGGTCCCCTGGAACTGGAGTTATGGACAGTTGTTAGCTGCCATGTAGGTGCTGGGATTCAAACCCAGGTCTTCTGCAAGAACAATCAGTGTTCTTTACTGCTGTGCCATCTCTCCATCCCTCATGTACTCTTTTTAAAGCACTGAACCCAGTTGGTGCTGCTGGTATGTACAAGGGTGTTGGGCCATCCACTGGCGCATGGCCAACCTACCAGGGACATATCCCTGAAAACTGACACTCCCCGCCCTCAGCAGCATCAACTGTCAACAGCTCCTCAGCTAGAGGCGGGGCTTTGTGAGCTCCTCCCCCACTCACCGACACTGCTCTTGACCTCCATCATCTGTTGTCTCTATCATGAGAGGCATCCTGAGACACACAGACCCAGCGATATGCATACGTGACTTAACTCATCCAAGGGACCACTCTCATGGCACTTGAATTAACCTGGTGTCCCAGCTACACTTGCTATTTTATTTTTTAATTGAATTTTTGTAATTTTCATACAATATAGCTTGACGGGACTTAGATCCCTTCCCTCATCCGCACCTCCCCCCGCACCCCCCCAATTTAACATACACACATCTATATTGCCTATAGATTTTGACTTATGTCCCCAAATGTCCTTCAGTGTGGGTCCATCCACTGGGCCCACCAAGATTTCCATCCTGTAAGACACTGTCTCTCCTCCTCCCAGTCGCCATCAATTGCCAGACATTCATTAGGTTGGACTGGGATTTTGTATTCACTTCTCTAAGAGGCTGCATAGTGCTCACCCCTGAATAAGATTGCTTCCCAAGGCGCAGGTATCATTGCAGAAGAGGAGGTTGAAAGACTGTAAGAGCCAGAGGGGGTGGATGACCACAAGGAAATGGAATCTTTCAGACAGCTGGTCAGTTATTCATATTAACTCACAGCAATGCTGACAGGATTGACAAGTCCTATGCAAGCTAAAACCACTCTTGCTATTTGCAATTGCTTGACTATATCAGGTTTTATTCTTCAAGGTATTCATGTTTGTGGTCCCCCAAATCCATCCTCTACCAACTTCTGCACCCCTCCTGGGCTTCTGGTATTTGTCTACCCCACAGTGGAGCAGTCTCTCTTTAAAGTTTGGATAGTGAAGGTGCTGTGAGAGGGCGTATGAGTGTGTGGGCACCATGGAGTCAATATGTCACAGGATTAGAAGGAAGCCTGATCTGACTATAAACAATGCTGGAGGTGTAATGTAACACAGGCAGTGAAAAATCTGGAAGTAGTGGTCAGTGACTTGTTGCAAGTTGAGTTTAAAGCTCTTGAGTCATCACCTGTAATGTACATTATATTGGTAAACTGTCACGTGCTGTTTAAGTCTGTTGAAAACAGACCCTGGGAGTGAAGGTCAGGCTCTCCTGTCCCAGACTCCAGCATGTTTATTACAAGTGTCTCTAAGACCCTTTGTCTGGAGATAGGCTGGCCTTCCTGGATCTGGGAGAGGAAGAGAAATCACAGAGTCCAAAAGTAAAAACACAGTGGCTTTGAGAACAGCTAGAATGTAAGTCATTCCCAACCAAGGTTACTACTGTTTATTCATGATAGAAAAATGTGTGTAGTGGAAGAGAGAAGGCAGAAGCTTCTTCATATAAACTCTGCTTGGAACTCTTATTTTTTTGAGACAGGGTATTCATGTTTGCAGTCCCCCAAATCCATCCTCTACCAACTTCTGCACCCCTCCTGGGCTTCTGTATTTGTCTACCCCACAGTGGAGCCCCAGCTGACCTGGAACTTGCTATGTAGACCAGGCTGGCCTCAATCTCAGAGATTGGCCTGCCTCCAGGTGTGCGCCACCATGCCCAGCTCCCAGTCTGGAACTCCAGCATGACTGGGTCAGGGTCTCCTCAGTCATTTCTGCTGGGTGACTGGCTGTAAGCACCTGATCTGACGATGTCATCTCTATCTGTGCTTACTTGTATGCTTCACCCCAGGGGATGTTCTCTTCACCTCTAATACCACAGTTGGGCCCATGTTTGAACTCTGCATGTAAACCACACAATACCCTTTTGTGTTAGAGACATTCTACCAACAATATCTGAGATCCATCTCAATTTGAGAATACAGTAACAGGTTTCTCATCTAGTTTATAAATAGAATTTCAATTTTGAACACCTGCCACAGATGGTTTAGTAAGTGCCTTTCAGCAACTGCTGGATGTACACCTGGGCAAGTTCTGAGTTTTAGGGTGTGTCAGAATCCACAGTAAAGTAATTTAGAAGCTCTATTTAGAAGCTAACTTTCATGCTGGGCATGGTAGCACACACCTTTAATCCTAGTACTCAGGAGGCAGAGGCAGGGAGACCTCTGTGAGATCAAGGCCAACCCTGATCTATATAGGAAATTCCTTGGTCTATATAGGACATTCCAGGTCAGCTGGGGTTACAGGGAGACCATCTCAAAAAAAAAAAGCTGAACAAACAAAATGGTAATAGAACCTAACTTTCACATTCCACGATCAGTTTTAAAAAATTAAGATTACATTTATTTGTATATATATGCACACACACGCATACGTGTACATACACATGTGACAGAATGCATGTGACAGTAAGAGGATACTTGGTGGGAGTCAGTTTTCTTGTTCCGTACGAGCCGAGGGGACTGGTCAGGGTGTCAGGACGGTATGAAGGGTGTTACCCACTGAGCCATCTCACCAGTCCCTACATAATCATTTTCTTTTTAAAGGGGACTAAGTTTGCATGTGAAAAAGAGGACAAAAGTGACACAGCAAATACCACATACCTCCTAAGATGGCTGATTTAAACTGTCAACTTACCACCCTGAAGACGTCCCTGGGAAGGGAGTCTCAAAGAGGGACTGTCTATATATCAGAATCCCCTGTAAGCATGTCTGCGGGGAATGACCTTGATCAGGTGAACTGAGGCGGTAAGGCCCACCCACTGTGGGTGGCACCATTCCTTAGGAAAAGGACTCTGAACCCTTAAGTGTGGAGAAAGCGGGCTGAGCACTAGCATGTACGCGTTGATTCACTGCTCTGCCCTCCTGACTGTGGATGCAATGTGACTAGCTGCTTCAAGCTCCTGCAGCCTTGACTTCTAAATAAACTCTCTCTTAAGCCGTCTTTGTCAGGGTATTTTGTCACAGCAACAAAGAACAAACCAACATTAAGACCCCCCTTGAACTGAGTCGGCAAGCCAGGAAGACACACAGACTTACAGTAACTTTTCTATGTTGCTCTCTGGATGGTTCAAGACATCACAGAGCAGTTTCACATCACTGTGTGAAAGGACTGTGAGGCTGAGGTTCAAATGCTTCAAATTAGGGTTCTGGAGGAACACCTCAAAGAACAGGTGGTTATCACAGAAGAAGGAAACATTGTTTATCCTGCAAATCAAAGGACGGTATGTATGAGTTTCCATCCAACAAAAGCCCCGAACTGCAGCCCAAGCTCTCATCTGGGATCATTCCCTACATCCCATAACTGCCTCATACTCTAATTTCACAATGTAATGATATAGCTCATTGGTCTTCAAAGTGGGTGTTTCCTCTACTTCCACATGGGATACTGGGATGCAAGGTGTCACAAGATGCGGTTAGAGTCTGGAAAGCGGAGCTTACGCATGCTCACAACATCCTAGAATTCACAGGACAGCCCCCAACAAACAATGGTCTACCATAGACGTTAGTGGTGCTGGGACTGAGAGGCCCTAGACTGTAAGTCTTCACCTACAAAGTTCACTGAAAGGTAGTGGGAAAACTAGTTCATTTTTCTGATATGATTGAGTCAAAGCTGACCTTCAACTTACTCAAGGACTTGAAGGGGACAGTTGGGATGCCTCAGCTGGTTATACAGGATCATAAAGGCCGACTCATTGAGGCCACTGTTCTTCACCTGCAGCACCTGGAGGTTCTCATTGGTTGTGAGTACAGAACATATCTGATGCCAACAGATGAGTCTATTTGCCCTGTAATGTAGGAGAAAGGAATTCAGTCTGTTATTGAAAAGTTGACTCAAGCCACTTACAACACTAAATATAGTAAACTGTCACCCTATGACAAAAGAGGTCAGACTCGGACTTTCCCTGAAGTGAGGAGGATCGGGCCAGTCAGGTAAATTTACTTTGGATTAGCAAGTCTCAAGTGGTATGTGGTAACATCTGTATTGTTTCTGGTTTATGGAGGGTGCTTGTGCCATCAGAAATAAAGCATCCTATAGCACTGCCACAGTTAAAGTAGAGGCAGTCCAGATGTTCCCCAGTGTTGAGGTTGATAAAACCTGGCTTACATCAAACCTTAGTGGTTTCATAGTTAAAAACAAGGCAGGATGCCTTAGCCATTAGGTCAAAATCCAGAGCGAGTATTTCCTGGGCCATTACTATTCACTCAGTATATAATCTTGGGCAATATACTTGACTTCTCTGCCCAGTTTCCTCTCCTACAACAGCGTAATTAATCAAATTTGTGTTTTAAGACTTCATGTGTTTGTGTGTGTGTGTGTGTGTGTGTGCGCATGTGTATGTCACATCACATGTGTAGCAATCAGAAGACAACTTTCAGGAGCTGGTTCTCTGCTTCCAGGGTTTGAATTTAGGCTTGGGGGCAAGTATCTTTACCTGTTAAGTCATCTTGCCAACCCACCTTATATGATTTCTTTGACTATGAAAGGAGTCAGTTTATGACACTTGTGTGTGAATATGTTTGCATATGCATGCATGTGTGCACATGTTAGGTGCATGCTTAGGGAGACCAGAGATCAATGTTAGGTGTCTTCTTCAATTTTTCTCTATCCTATTTACTTATTTTTAAATTAATTAATTTTTGTTTTATGTGCATGCATGTTTTGCCTGTAAGTATGTAAGTACACCATGCTGTGAATGTTCTCATAAGCCAGAAGAGGGCAATGGATCCCCAGGAATTGGGGTTGCAGACAGCTGTTAGTTTCCACATGGGTGCTGGGAACTGAACCTGGCTCCTCTGCAAGAGCACTGGCTGAGCCATCTCTCTAAGCTCCTGCCCCATTAACATTTCTTTAAGTTTTACAAGGCATTTGCCTGGTGGTCAAGGAGGAGCCTGAGTGTAATGCTCCTATCTGACGAAGGCAGGAAACGCACATGACAGAGATGGTCATGCTGCGTCCTCACAGTCTGGTGGGTTGACATTATTGTTTTGATAGTGAGGCCACTGAAACTAAGACGAAGTCCCACTGGGATCCTCAAGAGTAAATGTAGTTGAGCCTGGTGGTGCAGGAGGATCAGAAGTTTGAGGCCAGCCTGGGGGACAGAATTAATACATAGCTAGCCTATTTTTTTCAAGAGCCAGGACAGTAGTTCCGTGGCATAGTATTAACCTGGTGGACATGCAGCCCTGGGTTCCATCCTTAGCACAGAAAAAAAATAGGGGTCAGTAGATCATAAATTATATACATTTATTTTTGCTATTGTTTATGTTTTGAGACAGGCTCTCCCTGTGCATTCCAGACCATGTATGTATCCCAGACTGGTCTGAAACAGAGAGAAACACGCTTGCTTCAGTTTCCTGAGTGTTGGGATTACAAGTGTGCGTTATAATACCCAACTCAGCCTGATTAGTGCATTGTATTCTTTAGACACAAGGTCTTATGTATCCCAGGCTAGCCTTGACATTGCTATGTAACCAAGGATGTCCTTAAGTTTCTGATCCTCCTCCATCACCCAAGTGCTGGGACTGCAAGCACATACCACTATGTCTGGTTTCATGAGATGCTGTGATGCAAATTCAGGGCCTGTGCATACTAGGTGATAATCTGCTAACTGAGCTACATCATTGGCCTCTGTGTTCATACACTGATGTATCACATTTTACCCCATAAATATGCAAAATTACTAATTAACAAAACACAAAATAAGAACAAATAACCTATCTTTAAAAAAGGAGTTAATCTGGGTCTCAAGGAGTTTGGGGACTGGAGAGATGGTTCAGTGGTCAAGAGCACTGGCTACTCTTGCAGAGGAACTGGGTTGGGTTCTGAGCACATGTGATGGCTAACAACTGTCTAACTCCAGTTCCAGGGTCTCTAATGCCCTCTTCTGACCTCTGCAGGAACTGTACAACATGGGTATACTTACATACATTCAGGTAAAACACACATACATATAAAATAGAAAATAATAAATATTTATTAAAATGGAGTCTGTTGGGCTGGAGAGATGGCTCAGTGGTGAAGACCACTTGCTGCTCTTGCAGAGGACCAGAATTTGGTTCCTGGCACCCTCACTGGGCAGCTCAAAATTGCCTATAAGTCTAGATTCTGGGGACTTGACACTGTTCTGGCTTGTAAAGGCACCTACCTGCATGTATACATACTAACATATAGATACACACATTCATGTAAAATAAAAATAAATGTGAGGCTGACCAGATGGCACAGCAGTTAAGAGCACTGGCTGCTCTTGCAGAAGACCAGGTTCTGTTCCCAGTACCCACATGGCAGCTGACAACTGCCTGTTCTCTGTGGGCATTGCACACACATAGTGTACATACATACATGTAGGCAAAACACTCATACACATAAAATAAAAATAAATATTTTAAAAACATTTAAAAATGGAGCCTATGGACCCAAAAAAGGTGAGTTTTGAATCCTCTATAAATCCACTAAACACAGGAACAGACTCTGAAATGAGCTAGGAAGGCAGGCACTTAATAGACTCACATCGATTTGGGTGCTTGATCTCCCCGGAGGATATCACGTACTGAAATCGAAAGTTTCTTCAGTGCAGTGCAGTGTTTTAAGCAGTAGGCAGAAACTATCAAATCTGAGTTATCCTTGATCTCAAACTTCACTTCTTGAATCAAGTCCATCGCTTGAATGACAAAGGCTTCATTGCGCAGCTCAAACAGACAGTAAAACAACTTCAGGCAGTCTACCTGCTCCCAAAGCTCTTCGCTCTTACTTAAGGTCTCCAGGCACTGGTGAAGCTGCTGCTTTCTCTCCTTGGATATCTGGCAGCCAAAAAACACCCGTAGCTTTTCTTGTTCTATTTCATGTAAAAGGCCAAATATGAAACACCCCACAAAAATCCACCGTGCTTGTGCTTTCTTTAGAAACATAATCAGGAGTATGTCTATGCATTTAACATCAGTGCTAGGGTGGTCCACGTGCCTCTTCAGGAGATAAAACACAGCAGCACAGAACTCCTGGACAGACGGGTGAAGAAATGTGTAGGAGTTCTCCGATTCCCTGCTCTTTACAAGAATCTTGATGTTCAGCAATACGGGGACATCAGAGTCAACCAATCCGTTTCTCCTGAGAGCCTCCTCGCTAAACACAAATGTGTCAGTCCACAGGCCCTCGGCAGCCAGGGAGCACAGGCCCTGCAGTTGCTCTTGGCTCTTCTTACTTGGGTAACAAGTGCCTCTGGGAAGGAACAAGTTCAAGATGTAAGCGACATACAGGGAGGTGGTGCTTCGGCAGATGGGGGTCAGGTCATTCCCCTTTTCCATCTCTTGCTTCAGACACATGGCTACCACCCAGCAGAGCAGGGGGATCTGGCAGATAGTGAACAGCTGCTCGTTCTCTCTCACAAAACCGTAAGCTTCCTGAGCTCTGTATTTATCTGGAAACAAACAGCGGAAAAACAGCTTCCTATTGCTCTCATCAAACCCTATGATGGTTCTGATTTCTGGGTTCTCGAACTTATTCTCCAGTGTCTGAAGGCTCTCTGGGGTACCGGCGATGAGCAGAGAGGACTCTGGGAGTATCTTCCTTCTGAACAAACTGCTCAGCAGTGTCTTCATTGGCCGCTCCTCTATCCAATCAGTGCACAGCTCTGACTCTGGCTCAGTCAAATCGCATCTCAGCCATTCAAAGCTGTCGATGATGAACAGGAGTTTCTCAGGTTGGGACATGATCTCTGCTATGGGAGCTGAGGGGTTAGGCCACTCTCTTGAGATTAGTTCAGACAGACTTGTTGTCAGTGGCTTCACTTCTTGGCAGCAGAAGTAGAAGACGTATGTGAATTTATTCTGATAGATTTTGCCTTCCGCCCAGGCCAGCATTAACTTCGTCAGCATCATTGTCTTCCCTATGCCTGGGACCCCTTTCAGGAGCAGTATGTGGGAGCGGTTCCCAGTTGTCTTTGATGGAAAAAAGTACTCAAAATAATCATGTTCTTCCTGGGTGATTTCCTGGTCAAAGAAATCGTGAACCATAGGGGTGAATTTTCTGGACCAAATGCCGATGAACTTAGTCTTTATGTGAGCTTGATAGATCTTTGGGTGTCCTGAGTTCGGTACAAGAGAAAAAAGAAATCACAACATAGCAAAGTTAAATGTTCATACATATGTGATTTGACATTTCTTATCCTCAGGATGTAACTTTTTAGGAATCTGCAAATTACGGGCATGGAGCCAGCTGGTCCACAGCCTGCTCTGTAAGCCGAGTTCATTAAAACTTGGGCACAAATTTCACGCCTCTGCGCAGTGTATGCTACATGGGTTAAACTGTTGTTTGCTGTTTAAACACACTGAGAAGCTGGCTCTGGAGGTGAGGTTGCTGTCTCCCCATTTTAGACCCAAGCGTGTATGTTTCACAGTGTTATCCAAGGCCCTTTGTCTGGGGCTGGGCTGTCCCCCTAACTCTGTGACAGGAGGAAAAAGAACAGTAAAACAGATCAAGAGTAAAACCACTGTGCCCTTGAGAACACAGAAGACAAACTACTGTTAACAGAAGTTACTATTGTGTATCCCATGATGGAAAAATGCCCACAGGGAGAGGCAGAGAGTTCTGCCATGGGAAATTCAGCTACGGGAAGGTTAATCATGGCGAGAAAGCTCAATCGGGAACAACAGCTGGCTGCCTCAGTTTCTACAGTTGGTTTCTGCTGAACGATTTGATGGCCTTATCCATCTGCTGGTACTTGGAAGCCTTACCCGAGGGGACACTCTGCTCTGTCCAACATTGTATCAGAAACTCCAGTCGGCTGCCTCAACTTCAGTCAGTTTCTGTTGGATGTTGTGAGCACCTGATTCAATGGAGTGACCTTCTTATTGTTATTTTCTGTTTCACTTGGAAGCATCATCTGAGGGGACCTTCACTGTGGTTGGGATGCTCCATTGGGAACTCCATCCATCTGGGTGCTTTAAAGGGGATTTCCCAGATGGTTTTGCTTTATGTTTTAAGTGCCCAGTTTGACAACATTTGCGCTCTCTCTCTTTCCTACCTATAATCTATCTATCTATCTATCTATCTATCTATCTATCTATCTATCTATCTATCATCTATCATCTCTATCTCCTTCAGTCCCCTCCCTCTTTCTTTCAGTCTGTTAACCTCCCAATATGGCTATCTCTCTCTCTCTCTCTCTCTCTCTCTCCCCCTCCCCCCCCCTTTCTCCACACACACCTCCTTATCTGGCTATCTTTCTCCCTCCTTCCCTCCATCCATCCCTTCATCCCTCTGTCCCCACCTCCGCCTACCTCCCTATCTGGCTATTTCCCTACCTCTTTCTCTCTTTCTCTCCCTCCCCCCATCTCTCTGGCTATCTCCCTATCTGTGTCCCTATCTTTCTATCTCTTTGAATACTTATTCTTTCACTTCGGCTTGATATGTGCTTAATAAACTCACTCATTCACTTAAATTATGGCTACTGTAGACCATCCCTCAAGCTATGTGGAGCACAGTGCTGTGCACAGCTGCTCTCCTGGTCCAGAAAGAAGACTGGGTACTTGTGCTACACTGCATGGTCCCAAATTCAAAAACATCAACTATATAGTTTTCTATAGCAAGTCTGCCAGCTCCAATTCTACAGACACATGCGCACAGGCTCAGGGGCATGTAAGTGTTAACTCTTCATTGCCTCCAGGAGAGCACCAAACTGTTCAAGAACTACATCACTAGCAACAAAAGACCAGCTTCATAATTAATGAAAGTATGGACTATCAACCCGATATTAAAGATACTGAAAGATGATGCCCACAAGCAGATAAGTGGATACAGGAAATGTGGTCCACATACACGATGGAATTTTAGGCAGCTATAAATAAAAATAAAATCGTGGCATCTGCAAGAAAGTGGATGGCAATGGAAATTGCTGCATTATGTGAAGTAACCTAGAATCAGAAAGATAAATAGTGGATGTTTCTTCTTCTGTGCAGAACTTAGGGGTGTGTGTGTGTGTGTGTGTGTGTGTGTGTGTGTGTGTGTGTGAACTAGAGGTGTGGGAAGGAAGAAAAACTAAAGAGAAATAGAATTCATGTGCCATGAAATGGTGGTGGGGCTGCTTGTGGGGGGACAGGACAAGGAGGGGGCAGGGAGGAGGAGGAGGAGGAGGAGGAGGAGGAGGAGGAGGATCAACCAAAAAAGTTATGAAAATGACACAATGAAACCCAGTCCTTTGTATGCTATTTAAAAAACTGATAAAAAGGCCAGCAAGATGGCTCAGTGGGTCCAAGCGCTTGCAGCACAGCCTGACCACCCCAGTTCTGGCACCCATAGAAGGAGGAGCACTGATTCATGAAAGTTGTCCTCTGACCTCCACACGTGTGCTGTGGTGGCATGCATACACCCACACAGCACACATACTCACGTATTTACTGATAAATACAAACCAAATATCTATATCCATTTGTGTTAACGAGGGAGTTGAGTGTGAGGTACCGGTAAAGGTGTCATGTGTGCAATACATCTAAATGTCTACATCAGAAGGAGCTGACCCAGGCCAGTCTCCAGGAGAGAACCAGGTGAGCTTCCATGACACACTGGCCCCTAGGATTCATTTCAACTTCACCCATGTGAATGTTCTTATGTTTTAAAGACACCATATTAAAAATCCCAGAAAAACAGCAACGACGAGGATTATGCTTCACAGAATGCCTTGCAGCTAAGACTTGGGGTGCAGGCTAAGCTTGGCAGCTTACACAGACTCTCATGACACAGAAAGATGCAAGACCTGTAATGTGAAGATACCTTTAAGGGGGTGGGAGGGGTGGCTCAGCGATTAAGAGTGCTAGCTGCTCTTATAGAGAACCTGAGTTTGGTTCCCAACACCCACACAGGGCAGCTTAGAAACTCCTGTAACTCCAGCTTCAGAGGGCTCTGAGGTCTCTGGCACCTGTCTACACATGCACAGACCGCCCCCCCCAACGACAAACATATAATTTAAAAAGAGACCCTTTAAAGATGTTCAACATAACACACACACACACACACACACACACACACACCATATATAATGACATAAAAATCAGAAAAGGGACTATTTTAGGGGGAGGAAGAGAACTGAGGGACGCTGGGTAAGACCGATCAAAGTACAGTGATACATGTCTATTACTATATATGAAAATTTCACTATGCAGCCCATTATTTTATACACAAAGTTTTAAAAAGTAATAAAAATATATTCAATAAAAACAGAAGGCAAAGTGGGCATCCAAATGGAGACTGATGAAAAATTAAAGAAAACTTCATAAATAAAATGTGTTAACTGAATTTAAGACATCAACAGATGGGGGGCCAGTCAGATGACACAGTGGATGTTTGCTGCTGAGCTTGATGACCTGAGTTTGGTTCCATAAACCCATATAGTGGCAGGAGAGAATTGATTCCTGCATGTGTGTCCCCTGACCTCCACTCACGTGCTGTGACATGTGCACACAACACACACACACATACACACACGCACGCACGCACACACCCCACGAATGTAAAGAATTTAAAAAGAAACAGATGGATTTGTTATAGATTAGAAATAGCTAAATAGGTAATAAGAAAACAGGAAAAATGCCTAAAGCACAGAAAATGAATGAATGAATGAGCAAATGAATGAATGAATGAATGAAAAAATGAATGGACAGAAACCAGAAAAGGAGGACATGAACTTGAGGGGCAGATGTTGGGAAAGGGGTTCTGGGAAATAGCTGGGTGGGTGGGATTGAGGGGTGGAAATGATCAAGATACATTTGTATGCATGCATGAAACTTTCAAAGAATAAATACGATGTTATTGAAAAGCAAATGCGGAAGGATAAAAATGGATATTTGGGATTGCATAAAGACCTAACGTGTACTGTCAGAGTCCCAAAGAAGGTGTGGAAGAAAGAACGACACAGAAACAGGTTTTCAACAAATAATAGTCAAGAAATGGGAGGGAACTCACGGGTGGCAGTGTAAAAACAGACAAATACACGTGGCTGGAGAGGTCAGAGATCCTACAGGAAACCTTACCTCAGTCTTATCTTTAGAAAAAGAGATATTACTGTATGCTAAATATGGATCCTTATATTTACAGACAAGTATACTATGTACCACTCGTCAAAGAAGCTTCTTTTGCAACAGATGGAGGCTATCAGAGTTCCACAACTGGTCACACACAGAGCATATGTGTTTGAGAGATGCCCAGACCCAAGTGACACATCTACAGTGGAACCTCTATACCTAAGGCTCATAGAACGTAGCAGAACAGGAGGCAGAGAGAACACTAGTGCATCCCCCAACTCCCACCAGTGAAGCTTCCTCACACAACAGACTGTGATGCACACAGAAGACCACAGCTGGCTAAGTTTTAGGGAAAAAGAGACTGTAAAGTGTGTGTCCCTGGATAGGACTCCTATATTATACCCACCCACCCATGGCTCAGGGAAGAGGCGGCAGAAAGATTTTGAGAACCAGGATTGGTGCACAAACACAAAAGATGCTTTGGAGCTACAGACGCAGGACTTTGGAGAATCCCAAATAGAACGAGTCCAGGAAGCCGCATCTAGACCTAGCACAGCAAGACATCTGAACCCCAAAGGCAAAGAAATGAAAAGTCAAGTATCATTATATCTTATAGCAGATAAACATGTGACTCTTAAGGACATACTGTTCACAGAGCACAGCCTCTCTGTCACAAAGTTTTGCTTGTTAAAGATCAAAATACATATAGCCATGGCAGCGATTAGCAATGCTTTGAATACATACATGATTATTCCAGTGAACCTCAATTCACTGCAGAATCTATTTGTGTGTATGTGGGGGTGAGGGGCTGTACATGCATGTGTGCCTACATGCATGTGGAGGCCAGAGGTTGACACTGAGTAAATTCTCCAATCATTCTCTACCCTATTTTATTTTAATTTTTGAGAACTCCATAGAATATATTTCAATCATGTTTAGACCCTCTTCCCTATCTCTGCCCCACTTAATATCTGATTTCATGTAGTCTGATATACACATATTATACATATGATACATATGAGATATATTATATATCCTATCAAGTCAAATTGGTGTCTCTAAATACCCTTTGGTGTGGGTCTATCCACAGGCGCCTGGTTAACCTATCCAGTGTCACACCCTTAAAGCAAACAGACTGTCCCTCTCCCAGCAGCTATGGGTTGCCAACAGTTCCTCAGCTAGAGCTGGGGCCTCCTACCCAACTTCTATGCTGGGATTTTTGTCTACCTTATCTTTTGAGACAGTGTTTCTCATTGGCTCAGAACTTGCTAATTAGGCCACACTGACTGGCCAGCAAGCCCCAGGGAGCCTCCCGTCTCCACTTCCCCAGTGCAGGGACTATGGGTACTTGCCACCCTGCCCAGCTCTTATGTGAGTGCTGGGATCCGAACTCAGGTCCTTACAAGCACTTCACCAACTGAGCTGTTCACCAGCCCAGAAAATAGCAGGTATTTTCTGTTGCTGCTACCTCTTGCTAACATTAACTCTCCAGTTTTGATGTAAGGGTAAAAGCACTGATGTCCTAGGTATAATATGCTAACAATGCAGGTTAGATATCTATATCTGACCACCTAGAACTACATGTTTCAATGAAGCTATTTCCTACCCTGTGGGTAATCAGGACCCATAGACCTGGCCCTACTATAGATGGCCATGAAGAATAGTTATTAAAACTACAACATGATCCTCATGGCAAGAAGCTTTGACCCACTCACCAGCAATCTCTCTGGCAGCCCTTTCGCAGAGATCCAGCCTATTTATCTTCTGGAAGATTTCAAAGGTCACATTCCAGGCTTGCTTTTCTTCATAATACTTCATCAGTAAGTTGGCAAGGTCTTCCCGGGAAGCCTTCTTCACCTCCATCCGAGGAATGTGCTTGAGTCCAAGGTGCAAAATCTCTTGCTTGAGAAGCTCCTTAAATTTCATGAACTCCTTCTTGTTCAGCTCCTCCAGATACCACATAAGACCAAAGTCGGAAAAGAAAGACGATGCCATCTTGTCTAGGGAAGAGAGTGGCGTCTTCAGAGATGGATAGAAAAATACGAAACAAATAGAACCTGTGGGAAAATCAAGTAAACACCAAGTTATTTAAAAAAATGGGCCAAAGGGCTGGGAGGGGGGACAGTTGAGCCACAAATGTGCTTGCTGTATAAACATGAGAACTTGAGTTTGGATCCCCATCACTTACATAAAAAGCAGGGTGTGGTGACACATCTGTAATCCTAACACTGGAGAGACAGAAACAGGAGGATCCCTGGGGCTTGCTAGCTAGCTAGTCTAAGCTCAGTTGGTGAGGTCCAGGTTCAGTGAGACACTGCCTCAAAAAATAAGATAGAAAGAGATTGAGGAACACATGTGATGTCAACCTCTGACACACACACACACACACACACACACACACACACACACACACACAACTCAAGGTCATTACTGCCTTGTACACTGCTCATTGTGGGTGATGGAGGAGGGGCAGGAAGTTCTTTATCCCAGGCTCACCTCTCTCCTTTTCAATGAAATGATCATTAAAACAATACTTGGAAAACAGAGATTTAGTTCCCTAAAGAACTGCATGCAGGGCTGAAGGAATAGCTCAGTGGTTAAGAGCACTGGTTGCTTTTTTAGAGGACCAGGGTTCAGTTTCCTGCACCCACAATTGTGGTGGCTCACGATTTCTTGTAACTCCAGTTCCAGAGACTGCAATGCCCTCTTCTAGCCTCAGTGGGCACTGCCTGCATGTGGTATACACAAATACATGCATACACATGAACACGTAAAATAAATAAATCTTAAAAAGATTACTGGTAATTCTATCTCTGATGATATCTGGACCAATGCTAGTATCCAGAACATATCTGTGATGCTACCTTCCAAGGCTCAGGGATCACTGCAGAAGAAGGGTCAGAAGATTAAGAGCCAGAGGATGACCACAAGGAAACAGTTTTCCAGACAGCTGGTCAGTTATAGGAACTCACAGCAATGGTGACAACATGCACAAGTCCCACATAAACTGAAACAAGACCAAATCCCAGCATAGGCATGGAGAGGTAGGTAAGAAACCCCAGCCCTAACTGAGGAACTACTGGTAACTGATGTCTGCTGGAAGGGGGAGAGGCAATCTGGAAGGGTGAGACTTTTGGTAGGTTGACCAGGCCCCAGTGGATGATCCCAAACTGAAGGACATTTGGGGACACAAATCTGACTCTATAGGACTTAATATACATGAATATATGTATGAGTATGGGAAATTTGGTAGGGGTTTAGAAAGGGGGAGTGCAGAAACAGAAAGGTATCAAAATGTACCGTATGAAACTTGCAAAAAAAATCAATAAAAAATGAAAATATCTTCAAAGTATGGTGATGCATGCCTTTAATCCTAGCACTTGGGAGGCAAAGGGCAGATCTGTGAGATCTAGGACAGCCTCTACACAGGGACTTCCAGGCCAGCTGGGGCCACAGAAAAGATAAAAGATCTGACTGGGAAGACAGCTCCGTTGATGAAGGACTTGCTTTCAAAGCATGAGGACCTGACTTGATCCCCAGAAACCATGGGGAAAGCTGAGTACAGTGGTGCGTGTGTATAACCCCAGCTCTGGGGAGGCAGAGAGCGGAGGATCCCCAGCGCTCACTGCCAGAGAGCCTAGCCTACTTAGTGAGTTCTAGGTTCAGTGAGGGACCCTGACAAGGGAAGGTGGACGGCACCTGTGGAACAACACGTGAAGCTGCCGTCTGTCCTTCACACACCTGTGCGCACCATACACCCAGAAATCCAAAGATGCTAAATACCGTTTGCCATTGGTAAAATGAAAATTGAAACAGTAAGATACCATTATACACCTACTGAAATGGACACAGTGCATAAGACTGGCCATGTCAATCACTGGTAAGGCTGGAAAGTAACAAGAACTTCATTCACTATGGTAGAGGGTGAAATATGGCCACTTCAGAAGATGGTTTGACTTCCAATATCCAGAGGCACGGTGAGATATACTTTTGTTTAGAGTCCTCTAGCCTTGTTATTTTGTTACAGCATCCCAGACACCTTAGAAACAGTGACAATCACCCCAGAGCAATCAGCATATACAGGGACCAGGTTGTGGTTGATGATAATCTCAATATTGGTTTATCAGTGGGGAGGAACATACAGCAATGGAAGATATTAACCAGATTTAACTGGACACGGGATATCCAGAGGGGCTAGAGAAATGGCTCAGTGGTTGAGAGTACTTACTACTCTTGCAGAGGACCTGAGTTTGATTCCTAGTACCCTATCAGCTGGTTTATAACTGCCTTCAACTCCAGCTTCAGGGGGATGACTTCCATAGGCATCTACACTCATGTGCACATACACACATACACGACTTTAAAGTCTTAAAATAATATCCAGAAACTGTACAATGTTTTAAGTATTTGGTTTTTATATAGCAATTGGTTATACATGTATCTATGTACACACACATGTATCTATGTACAGACACATGTAGCTATGTACATGCACATTCTGTGCCATGGATATTTGCACAATCTTATAAAAAATGAGAAAACATTCTTTTCCTTTTTCCCTTTTTATTTTTTAAATATATTTTTATTGAATTTTTGTGGGCTTCATACATCTTAACCATATTTAGCCCTGCTTCCCTATCTGCACCCTCTAATAGCCCGCCCACAGTACTTCATGCATTCTGTCATGTATGTTAAGGCCTATCGAGTCAAGTTTGTGTCCCCAGATGTCCCTTGGTGTGAGTTCATCCACTGGAGTCTAGTCAGCCTATCTAGTGTCACTCCCTTAAGGAATATCAACTCTCCCTCACCCAGTAGTGATCAGCTGTCAACAGTTTCTTGTCGCTGTGGCTTCCTGCCCATTTCCCCAGTTCTAAGCTGGTTTTTGTCTGATTGAGCTTGTATGGTGCTGTAAAAGAAACAACCAAGGGAGTGAAGAGGAAACCCACATAGTGGGAGAAATCTTCACCAGCTACACATCTGACAGAGGATTAATAGCCAGAATATATAAAGAACTAAAAAAAATTAACTAAAGAACCAAGAAAACAAATGACCCAGTTAAAAGATGGGCTATGGATTTGAACAGAGAGTTCTCAAAAGAAGAAATAAAAATGACTAAGAAACACCTTCAAAAGTGTTCAACACCCTTAGCAATTAGGGAAATGCAAATCAAAACCACTTTAAGATTTCATCTTACCCCAGTCAGACTGGCTCAGATCAAGAGAACAAATGATACCAAATGCTGAAGAGGATGTGGGGAAAGGGGAACGCTCACTCACTGCTGCTGGGACTGTGAACTCATGCAACCCCTATGGAAAACAGTGTGGAAAACTCTTAAAAACTAAAAATGAAACTGGGTGTGATGGCACACACCTTTAGTTCTAGCACTCAGGAGGCAGAGGCAGGTGGATCTCTGTGAGATCGAGGTTGGCCTGGTCTACATAGTGAGTACCAGGCCAGCTGGGGCTACAGAGAGACCCTGTCTCAAAAAGACCAAAATGAAAACAAAAACTAAAAATGAATCTACCATATGACCCAGTTATGCCATCCCTTGGCACACACCCAAAGGGCTCATCTTACTGCAGAGACACACATACATCATGTTTGCTGAAGATCTTTTCAAAATGGCTAAGAAACAGAAGCACCTGACAAAGGGATAATGAAAATGTGGTATATTTACACAATGGAGTTCTACGCAGCAGTACAGTAAGGGGAAATCATGAAATCTGCAGGTAAATGGATGGAACTAGAAGCTGTTATACTAAGGGAAGTAACAGACTCAGAAAAACAAAAGGCTTATGTTCTCCCTCATTTGTGGATCCTAGCACCAAATCCTTATATGTGAGTGTATATCCTGATGTAACTGTAGGAGCCAAGAAAATAGAAAGGAACCACAGAGGTAAAGGGAAAGAAAGCCTGAGACAGAAGAACAGTAGGAGACAGGTGTTACCAAGGGTAAAATGGGGGTATTTAACTGGGAGGGGAAGAGAGAGGATTATATAAGGAACCATGGCGATAAAGGGGATGGGGCTCAAGAGAGGTGGCATCGTAGGAGACAGGTACTATCAAGGGTGAAATAGGGGGAAATGGGAGTTCTTTAACTGAGGAGGGGGTGTCAGAGAGGGAGAGATATAAAAGAGACAAGTAATGCTTAGCAGGTGTGGAAAACCAGAGG